ACACACACACACACACTCACACACACACAAAATGGATTAATACCGCACTAAAATGAGGAAAGCGTCGCTCTGTGAGCATGGGGGTGGTTTGTTTGTGTGTGGTGGGTTCATGGGGTCAGAAAAGAAAAGAATTAAGGAAGAAAATCTGGCAACAATATTTGAAAGAAATAGTATCTGTAATTACTAACTTTATCGTTGAATAAAAACTAAATCAACAACTAAAAGGAGTTCTTGACCAGAGTCAACGACACATGCGATTAAAGGGTAATTAAAACTTGAGAGAAAATAGAAAATGAAGCTGTGACCCGTGGATACATAGAAGTCATTAGCTGTTTGTCACATTTTCATTAAAGCATGTCCATGGTTTCACACCAGTATGTATGTCTGTTGGATAGTTTTACCAGCCGATTCCACAGAGTAACTTCTGAGCTTTTATGATGCTAAGCACCACGTGTGCTCTGCAAATGAAGCTGCCCTAGCTTCATCTCTTTGACAGAGTAAAGGTATGTCCTGAGCGGGGGATTTCTGGTCTTGTGTCTGGTGTGTCCTGTTTCCAGTGCCTTAGTTTCCTGAGCTTCATTCTGGTGTCTTTCTGAACTTCTACTGTGTTCTTCTCCTGTTCTGTCATCAACTCAACTCTGTCCAGCTGAGTCACCTGCTCTTCAGTCACTAATCACACCCCCTCTTTATGTTCTTCCATTCCTGGTCCCATCCTCACCAGCTACCTCCCCCCTCTCCCCCTGTTTCATTGTCTCCTTGGTTTTCTCCCAGTTACATGTTTGCACCCAGTCCTGGTCTGTAGTTTCTCCATGATGAGTCCAGAGGCGACCATCTGTTAGTGAGCTGGACGTTGCTGTGTCTGAGGCAGACCGCAGCAGTCTAAAGCAGGAGGCCGGGGGGGGGGGGGCTCTCACAGGCTGCACCACTCCTCACTGTGGTTTACCTGTGCACTGACTTCTGGCCTGAGAAGGTTTCCACCAGATATCAGTGTCTCCCATGGCTGCCGGCTTAATGCTCGCAGTGTTCATGCTTCAATATCTTTGCTTTGAATGATTCAATTCCAAAGGCTACAGATTTCAGTGAAATGTTGAGATCCCCAATCAGGAGCCTCCACGAGGCCAGAGCAGAGCCTAATGTGGCGTTACGCCCTACCAGGACTGAGGCTGTAGAGGAGAAGGTGTTGTTGTGGAAGGCAGGGAGGAAGGATATGAGTTGCTCTGTTAAACAGGAATTATGGGCCAATCTTCTCTTCATTGTCTGATTAAAATGGAGTCCCTGTTGCCACGCAGGCCCTCTACCATAGACTGAACTATTCGTCTGACTGAGGAGTGAAGGAGAAAACACACCTACCTGTAACTGGTTTCCTTCAGTTTGAGCTTGTATGTTACACTGATTGAAACTTTTTGAAGGTTGGCAAGAAAGTGATCTTAATTGCTTCAGCCATGTGTTAAAGATTACAACCAATCAGAGAGGGTAACACACACATAGGCTCAGCACACGTGGATGGAGATACTGATGTTGCTCTCCTGCCTTCCACTCTAAACCAGCTCTATCTAAATCCCACACTAACACAAACATCCAGCTCTGATTGCATAGAACTGGTGTCACTGTGGGATTTATTGTAAATTAGCACTAACTCAGCATGACTTTGGAATAGGAGGCCTGTGTCTGAGAGGGAGATTTGTCTCTCAAAGCGTTGCAGGTTGATGGAGCGTATTAGTGTGGTGAAATTGTGTGTGTGTGTGCACTTCTAAGATATGCTATGGAGTTTGAAAATGTAGGGCCAATAGTCAGAAGAGAGTAGTTGTGACTATTTATTCACTTTCAAACGGCTCATATGATGATGTTTGTGGCTCATACCAAAACAGCGGAGTCAGTCTTCATGAACATGAACCTGGTGTTTCTGAGCGTGGCTGCTGACACTTTTGACAGAGTGAAAGAATTCAAATTGCCCTCCTATTCCAAAATACAGCATGTTAGGAGCCCATAAAACAGAAACAACATAAGCATGTCACAACAGAACATAGAAACATGAGATGTGGAACAGGAGAAGTTTGGCTGTTTCACTACATCCATCTCATTTCTGATGGCAGCAGCTTTGCCATAAAAAGTAGTTCCAGGTTCTCGTCTCCACCAGTTTCTTTCCACATCGGCCTGTCAACACCTGGACTGAGGAGACCGGGTCTGTGGGACGGGGATGTTCTCCCTCCTGTCTGAGGGAGGGTTGTAGCTGCTCAGCAGTCCTGGCTTCCCTCTGCTTTTGAACTGACCTCAGGAGGTGGAGATCCCTGAGTCTTCCACTGAGCCTCACTGGTGGAGCTGCATCCATCTGGAAGGAGCAGAAGTTGCTCCAAATCCTGGGCATGCCTCCCAGCACTGATGGAGCCTTTCCAGATGTGCAGGGTTCCAGTTTCATAGGCATAATGATGAATGGTCCAGACTATTTGATTTGCAATGTTTTTGATTTAAAGAATTAGCCAAATATTCTATTTAATGTGTCAAGACTACATCAAATATGTTGCTTGGCTGTAGATAGATTTAGTGTTAATTGAAGGAGCTGTGTCACAGAGGGGACTCAGACTGATTTACTGCTATATTGTCAATCAACCTGACAGGATTTTTTGTGCCATCCCAACTTTTTCAGACATGCTGCTGAGATCAAATGAAACAATACTTTTAAATGGAGGAGTAGAATGTCATACTTTTAATATTCTCTCTCTGTGTCATCGTGAATGAAATGGTTCATAAGCTTCGCAGTTTACAAGCTCATAACGGCCCAGTCTCCATGGAGTTGGGCTTATGGTTGAAATATCTTTGAATGTCTGATGATGTGTTTCAGTTTTGGATGGAGAGTCGATGAGTGTTGTCTAAAGTATGTATAGAATTAGGGGTTATCATTAACTGTGAAGTAGAAGCCCCTTCAATGCTCATGTTCCAGTAACTTGAAATCCAGTCGGCAGTTTTTAGCTTTTTCATTTCGTCTGTGTACTTTACATGGTTGTGTAATCTAAGTTTTCATCAGATTCTAAGTTTGATCGTAAAGCTTATTCCCCTCAGTCTTATTCCCCTCAGTCTTCTGCGTCTTGGTTGTAGTTCTCAGTAAAGACAGAACAATAGGGACCCTCACATGGAGTCTGTTATGTCCAGCTGCCATCAAACCTCCGTCAGAGTGGTCCATGAGCAGGCAGGGACACGGTCACTCCCCCTTTGTTCTGGACACCCTTTGGCTACTCTGGACAAGCAGAACAAAGTGCCTTTCAGGCAGCTCCATGCATGGGGCTGTGTCCACACGTATCTGTGGGTTCCTCCAAAATGAATGTCTCTTCCTATAATCTTTGCTATTTGGAAAATGTGAAAATCTGTTCCTCTGTGTTTAATTTAGTTGAGCTGTTCTAAATTAGATTTCACTTAGGTTTTTACCAGTTTAGATTGAAATGATAATCTTAGTCTTTTGCCCACTTCATCCTGATCAGTCTGGTTTAGAGGCCACATATTTATATATGTATGCATACGTTATTTGGATCCAGAAACAGAATCTCATAAAGTCAAGAAGAAACTGTGCAAAAGGCAAAAAATGAGTCATGTTTTGTAGAACCAGGTGTTTTTTTTTAACTCACCTGAGTTACTAAACAACAGCATGCACACTGGTGAGGTTGACTTCAAAGTGTAAAATGCCAAGCAAACCAAAAACGTGTTCACAAATGTCCTGAAATCCCGGTAAAGCCACAGGGCTTTTAGGATTCCCAGATCCTCTGTGTGTTTCTCCCTTTCCTGCTCCCTGGCTGCTCTCCCTCTCCTCTATTCATCACCAACCTGTCTCGATTGCATACTCTCACACCAGGATAAATGGTTTTTCTGCTGCTAATTTCTGCACCCTGTTTTTTCTATCGGCCGGTTTTGTGTTTCTCCAATCAGGGCTCTCAGATCCTGCCTGGAGCCTGTTTGTTTTTTCAGGAACAGGGGCATCATTTGTTACACGTGTGTTTGTATGTGTGGGAGTGTGTGTGCTTGTGTGAGCCGACATGCTCAATTATGAGTGTTTACAGGATCACATGTGAGGGGTTTGAGACGAGACAGATGCACGTTCAAGTGTGCTGTTGAAAAAACAGAAATACTTTCCACCAGTTGCCATTTGTGCAGTTTTGGAGGGGAAAAGTCTGCTTCTGTGGAGCCATTTTAAAAATATGCATGCTAATTTTTCTATTTATTTACTGGAAATTCATCATAAGGAACATGCGACCCAGCAAAATGAAGGTCTTGTGCTGGATCTTTCTTTTTAACAACATTTGGTTTCTTTTGACTGACTTGGCTGCAAAGGAAGGTATAATGGACAGCATGCAGGCTAACATATGTAAAGTACCAGGATAAAACCAATCCTTCTGTTCTTATCAGCCCAAAACTGAAGGCCCTTTTTTGGGCACCTTTGGGTTTTCATGGTGTGGAAATAAAGCTCTGCAGATTCATGTTTGTGGAGTTTTCTCTATGTACATTTCTTCAGATGTTTCTGGGGGTTAAATTAGAAAAAAAACATAGATTTCATAATACTCTTCATATTGTTGTAGGCAGTTAAATGACCTATTTGACCTATCTATATTTTACACTTGTAAATATGTCCAAAATCAGCATAAAGGCAATAAATAAAAAAACTGAAGAAAAAACAGTGAAAGTCTCCAGAGAGTTGTTAGACCTGACCAACAAAAAGGAGTGAATCGCTGAAATGTTCTAACTTTTTCCCCCCAAATTCAAACACAGTTGAATGCCTTGTTGATAATGTTAGTGTTGGTTAGTGCATGATACTGGTATCAACCCCCCCCCCCCCATCTCCCTCTGGACATGAAGACAAAGAGAAAAAAAAGATCTGCCAAAATCTGTGGGGAAAGTTTGGGAGGAGACATCTGGTTGCCAGACATTGTCCATTTGTTGCCAGCTCTCTCTGGAGGACTGTGGCGTTCTGGAGCCCGTGTCTGCCTGCTGTTGCTTTATGCCTTCTGCTGTCAAAGAGTCGCTCTCTTGGACGTGCTAATTCATTTCTGCTCCCGGCTGGAGCCGGCTGTGAGGAGCTGAAGTCGCTGTGGAAGGTGAAGGCCTGCAGGTACGGCTGCAGCATTTAGGCCAGAAAAGACAAGTTGTCATTGTTTTTGGAACAAAACTCATGAGTGGTTAGTTTTTAATCAGCCCTGACATCCTGAACATGTCACAAACACACAAACGCACGCACACACACACACGCACGCACACACACACACACACGCACGCACACAGACACACACACGCACGCACACACACGTACACGTACACACAAAAACACACGCACACACACTAATTTTCACTTGGCATAACTAGCCACCCCTCTCTCTCTCTCTCTCTCTCTCTCTCTCTCTCTCTCTCCCCCTCCAAGCCCACAATCAGTGATGTCACAGTCTAATTGAACCAATCACATGAAGCCCAATCCATCACTGTCAACACTTGGGCCAATCAGCTGCTCATGCAAATCCTTCCTCCTCCAATGGCAGTGAGCCGGCTCTGGCTGGCCCACTGGGGACTGCTTAGGCACATATGCAGATCTGGACATTATGCCACAGATTTCTGACTGAAAGACGAGTTTTCACCGTCCAGCACAAAATGGCTTGTTGGTAATTGTTGGTCTCCTCCATTTGCCTGAAGGTCTGGAGATGGCTGCTGTTGTAAGCCGAGGCCAAAGGGATGAGAGGGAATGTGAGAAATGTAAACACACCATGTGTACGTGTGCACATAGTCTCACACACGCATCCTTCATAGTGGCCACCCAGAAAGATTAGGATTAGGATGAGCTGCTTATGAGCTGAGTCAGCACAAAGTTAAGCCTCCCTCCTCTTCATCAGCTGTCGTCTCAGCTTGCATCTCCAATAAATGCACCTGGTAACACAACCAACCCCCGACTGGCACAATCGACCTACCAAAATGAACTTCAGTGGGAGCAGAACACAGAAAACTGTCAAAACACCACCAATTCAGCAAATGCACAAAATATATTCAGTTTATAACAGTTTTCAGAAATCAGCAAAGGGAGTTTTTTTTACAGCACAAGTATACAGTTAGGACTCCTATGGAACACAAAATGACCTCAGTAATACTGAGCTATCAGATAGTTCCATTAAACGAATCAGAGGATGGAGCTGGGGCTGCATGGTGGCTCTTAGACAGACACAGACACGAGCCCCTGCTGCCATCCAGCAGCCTGTCCACCCAGGCCCCGGGTGGTCACCAAAGGAGGGAGCGCTACTCCCATGATGGCATCCCTCCTTAATGAGACATGGCAAAAGCAACTTGTACTTTCTCCTTTAATGTAGGTGGGACAGCTGCCCTCTCAGCTCTGTGACGCTGAGATATTCCCAACCCCGTTCAGGATTATGCTCAAACTGAACAGCTCCGGTAGAACCAGTAAACTCACGGAGGCTCGGTGAGTTGTCTTATTTTAGGAAGAGCTAAAATCAGAGTTACTGAATAAGTGAGCGATAGATTTTCACAAACTTCTCCTTCTCAGTGTTTTAAAGTATATGCTATTTCATTAGCAATGAGACAGTGAGATTCTATCTATTGTACCAAATACTCTGGTGGTTCAGAACAGACTTCTGAGATGTGGTGTCCTTATCCCTGCTGTGTGAGGCAGGGCCTGCAGGCAGCAGATGTAGCAGTAGAGGAGCTGTGACACCCAGTGGTCAAACAGCAGCACAGCTAACGTCCCCGTCACCGAGTGGGGGGTCAGTTTTGAACAGAAGAAGCTCAGGAAATTCAAGAATGGGACTTAATGGGGTTTCAATGAGTATGATCAAGCTGGAGAGTTCATATAGCTTCTGGCCCCTGGTACAGTTGGCTCATTTAGCAAAACCAGATCTATCCCAGCTTTGCTCACTTGAAGCCGTCAGAGCCATTCTCCAGATTCTCAGTGATTTTTCCACTCTGATAAAGCCAATAAAAAGAAATTGAAGAAATCTTTTGATACATGTGTGGCTTAATAATTCCAGGATTTACGCTTTTGTATTGACACAGCGAGACCAGAAGGTTCAGCTGTTTGATTCCTTTAGGTTCTGCTGGCTCTCTTTGCCCTAACAATTTGAGATACAAGATTCACTTATGTGCTAATCTATTATTATTATTATTATTATTATTATTATTATTATTATTATATTCTACTATTATTTGCCTCTTTGCTTGTGGTATCTGGGGTGGTTCCACCTCCCCTGCAGCACTGAGATGTTTATCATCTCCCCTCCTGGACTGATTTAGGACCATTTTGTGTGTTTTATCTGCAGCAGGAGGCTGAGGATACAGACACAACCCTCACTGTTCACACCACCGAATAGAAAGTGCTTTACATAACTCACTGAATCCACAACCTGAAATCTGCCATGAAGGAGAAATGTGGCCTTTTTCACTTTTTGCTAAAAGATTCCAGATTAGAGACTAAATAAATAAATAAATTAACTGTAGCAGGAAATGAAGATCCAATACATAAAAGAGAAAATAAACTTTATCGTCAGTCTCATAAACAGCAGACAGATAAATGATCAGTTACAAGCTTGACTCTAACAGTTAAGACATTTTCTGTCATTTTGGTTGCAAAACTTCCACTTTATCACCTCAGTTATTTTATTCAAAATATCCTTTTACACATGTTAACTGACCTAAATAAGACCATCCCATTGTGGACCTTTAATAGAGTTCAACTACTTATTGGACTGTCTCTTACTAGTGTTATAAAGCTTCATAACATTCTTTCATATAATTTTTGAAAACCTTCATTTTGCTTAAAGAGATGGCAGTAACAACCAAAACTACACAGATTTAAGATCTTGATGTAAATGGTGCAAAGCAGAGAAAGTTTCAAAGTGCTTTGAGTTCAGCTCCAGGTTTGAGCTGTGACCCAGCTTATAGTTCAACCCTTTTATGTCTATATTCTCTTTTATTCACACATTTACCTGAAGATGCACCATCTCATACAGGCAACAAAACTCTGGAAAGGATGAAAAGTAGGGAGCTGGAAAACACTAATTATTTGCCATTTATATGTCCAACAGTTTTGATGATAAACCTGGAGCAATAGTGGCATTTGGCCTAATAAATGATCATAACATTGCTCCAAAACGGAATAAGTTAAATAAACACAACACGCAGCATAACAGATGCCATCACAGGGAGGAGGAGGTAAAAAACAAAACACAAAGAAAGCTAAACCCAACAAGGTCCTGGCTGGGTAATGGCTTCATAGCTACAAGCTGCTGGGTGTCATGTGACACCCTTCCCTTTGGCTTGGCTCCATTCATGTGGAATAGGGACAGGAAACATTAGGCCTTTCTCATCCCACGTCATTTCAGTATGGACCATTTGATCTGCTCCTTGGCCGACTGCAGCACCTAAAAACCAGAGAGGACACACATGTAGCTGATGTACACACTGGTGCTCACAGCTGGCCAGCCCCAGCCCCCCTGCAGCCAGCAGAGGGCAGACTGGACACACGCTCTGAGGCCCCGCCCCCTGCCGCCATGATGGAGCCCCTCATGTCTGAGGGTTTTTAATTCACTGCACAAAACACAACTAAACATATGTAGTTATGACTTCAAAAATCACCTTTGTCGTTAAAAGAGCTGTATATAGCGGATTTTTCTCTCAGTAAAAAATGAAAAATAAATCACAATTTGACATTTCTGAGCAGAAAATAAATTTTTCTAAAGATAAATATGAAGATAAAATGTTGCTCTGGGTATGAAACGTTGAGGAGGAGGTAGAACTGAAGGCTTTCCACCAGAAAGACCACAGTGTTTGAACAGCATGCTGTTCCACATTCCAACAGCAGGGGGCGCAGGACACTCGTCTCACACAGACATCCCATTGTTGTGGGTTCAGGAGCATGCTGCTGTAGAACAGGTTAGTAGGAACTTACATTAGTAGTCAGAGCCAGTTTCTCTGTTAGGTGCTGTCGGGGTTAAAGCAACAGACAAAGAGAGCAGTAGTGAGTACACATACACACATACACACACAAACACACACACACACACACACAGCAGAGCCTCTGCACAGGCCTCCCACACACATCACAGGAACACACAGCCTCACACAGAATGTCATCCAGTGTGGTTGAATAATGTGGTGAGTTGTCACCAGACCCCCCCTTCCTCCCATCATGCACCTCTCCTCCCTCTATAGGCCCAGGCTGCTGGAGGCTCCCATCATGCACCTGGCCTGGTTTTATTGGTGCTGGTTGGGCCCTGTTTCGTCTTATTTTCCCTCACTTTTTTCCCTATCTTAGTGGAAGTGATTGGCCATGATGTGCATTGTGGATTTGGCTAATTCATAAATTGTTAAAAAGATGGATGCGGTGGAGGTCCACAGGACCATTTCAAAAGAAAGTGTGGACAGCGTGGAGCATGTTTGGGCGTGCAGCTGCATGCGTGTGCTGTACGGACTGGGTGTGTTACCTGTGTCACACTCTGCTCAGTCAGGGGATTCTCATCTGCCTGTAAACAGAAAGATGACATTATGAAGAGCAGCACAGCCAACCAGCTGCAGAAGACCAACACACAACACAACACAACACAACACAACACGGCCTAAGAACAGCAGTCACATGCGAGCGGGCAGCCAATCACGGCTCCTACAGGGCTGTTAAAGCATGCCAGTGGGGAGGACTGAGACCACCAGCCCATTACTCCATCTGCTGGACTCCTCTGAGAAGAAAAGCTCATGGCTGTTAAGTTTTTATCCAGCAGAGGGTCAAACAACCCCACAGAAATCTGGAAACATATTAGTCTGCATGCTCTCTCACCATCTCTAGACTCTGTCGCTCCCACTGTTCCCCCGT